AAAAAGAGAGGGTACAACTGTGGGCTTGTGCAACCTCTCTGTATCCCATCTCAACATTAGATGTGCAGTCTGCTCTTGTACTCTCATGACATGACCAGCACTGGAAAGCTAGGCGGTGGGAAGTGCCTTCCTAAAGCAATTTCCGCAGGATGCAAGGGCAGCGTATAGCCAATCTGAGCTTGGGCTGCCAGGGTAGCAGTGAGGAGTCCCTGTGGCAAGTCACCAGTACCCTGCACTGCGGGACAAAGGGCCAGCCAGGTTTTAACTGGCTCCCTGGCCCAGCAGTCCAAAGTACAGCAGAGCAGTGGCTTTGCTTTCTATTTGCTTCATCCACACAGTTCACTTTCAGACAGAGACTGACTTACTGTTACATAATCATCAGCCATAAACCAAGTCACTCACTGCACTACATGTAGTTCACCTTTTCCTGTAACCCAGCTTTTAGCTTATGTTTCCATATGAAGTACTTTATTAGCTGCGAGTTAGGGTTGCACTGAGAAAACACTTGTCATTACACATGCTGTTTAGCAACAGGTGGAAGATGTGGAAATCAACAGCTAGGTTTAATTACACAATTTTTAAATGAAGACTAATACACCCTTTATTGAAACACACCCTTACACTGGAATTGTTGGGTCTCACAACACTGAAACAAATTTAGAGATGTCCCTTGCCCTTACTAGTTTCCTTCATGCCTGTGGCCTGTACCTATCTCCACATAAAGGGTTTAAGTAAACTCTGTTAAACTTGAACTCTCCTGACCTTGAGGTTAACTGGACTCTGTATTTAGTAGATTATTTGCTGGTATGGATGGCTTCGTGACACAGATTAATCTATAATGAAGAATTTCTAATTGTTCTCGAGGTGAGATACCTTATGATTTAACTTTACCCTCCTTTTGATTCCCAAATAAGACTATCAGCAAGTGAAAAATGTCAGCATGCCAAAACATCATATACATTAGGCTGGGCAATTATCCCAATGTGTTTGTCAAATAGCCCTCTAACTGGACACCATACAAATTCCTTTAGAACATTTCCTAGACTTCATTTGGTCATTCTGATTTGGCTCCCCTCTCCCAAATAGGGGGTAGGTGCTCAGGTCACACAGTGATAAACTCTGCAGTAAGAGAGCTAAATTCCATGAATTATGCACCTTACTCTGGCTACTCTCTAATATCACAGTTGCAGTAAAGGAAAAACACCACTTTGCAAGCCCAGTGTATAAGGCTCCGAAGGAGTAGGCACACATTTATGAATGTTTGTGTTGAAACATCTGAAGCCAGAAAGAATGATTTCCGAAGAAAAACAGGCAAAAATCAATCTCTGGGTAGAATATAAGGTGCTATATTTAATAACATAGACACTTAAAACAGTACATGAAAAATCAACTATTCCTCAGTTTATTTAAAATTACAGTGTGAAAATGTAATGATATAACGGAGAAGTAACTCCTTATACAGAAAGTGAGGATTTTGTTTCGGAAGCAGTAATTATTTGGTTTAATTTCTCATGGATTTCATATGCTATTTCGTTCAAGTTGTTCAGAAATGGACCATTTATTGTATACCTTCCTCTTAGTCGAGCACATTTATAATCTTATATGCTTTGATATCTGCAAATTTGTCACAGGAGAAATTAACAAGTAGATGCTTGGGACCACTTTCAAAAGGAATGACTTTAAACTTTGTGCTAGATTTCTCACCGGCTTTCAGTGGCGGTACGCTAAAAATAGGAAACAAAGGGAAAAATGTCAGCTGAAAACAGCCTTATGCATCATCTTTGAGCTTCTTCGCTATTGCTATCAGCTCTGTAGCGTTCATAGGATGGCGATGAAAAGACTGAACAGAACTTAGCTATTTGATATGTACTTAAATGCTCAACTCCATGCATTAAGATCTCTAGCAAATATATTGTGCGGCGATCCAGATAAGCATGCAAAGGGAGACATGTTAATACCATAAGAGATCAAACTTCATGCAGAACAGAAGGTGTAAAAGAGATCACTGAATTATTAAAAAAAGAATGAGCCAAGACAGTGAAGAACGATAACACAAATTCCTGAATAAGAATAGATTATGGCACCAAGAAAACCTAAGTACTTGCACACCAGGAAATTCTAAATGGAAGTTAAAATGTTTTAAAACAGTATTTTTTTTAATTCTTGAAAACTGATATTTATGGTCTTTCTAAACAGTCTTACCCTATCATATTATCTTGTCCTACCTAGAGGAAAAAGTTGCAGGTGATACATAACATTGGTTTACTAACTTGCCTCAGGAGAGATTATAAGTTAGGGGATAGACCATTCCTAGGTGTCCAAGTCAAATGACAATGTTAAGTTGCTGTGTACGTGTGTGTATGTTCAGTTCAAATGCACACTCTCATATCCTAGGCATTTTTTAAAAGCAGCTGCATTTGCCATTGTGTGTAGATGTTTGCATGCACGTTTGTTTATGCACAAAGTCAGAGACTGGCTGCAAATTTACTTTTATGATTCAGTTGTGAAATACTGGGGAAAAAAAAGGCATAACAAACCTTTGAACAAATCATTGAAAAAGAAGGTGTTTGCTTCAAAGTCATGCATGCCTACGTTCCGCCTCATATATCTTTAATCGCAGGAAGGAGGCCCTCCTTGTACTTACTCTATCTCGAGGATTCCTCTGAGCAGGTCACTGCCTTCTACCTGTAGCACACAGTCCATCACTTCCATATCAATGGGATTGGTAAATATCACTTCCACATCCACTTCTTTATTTACTTCTGCCTCACCCAGTACCTGTGCAAAGAAAATGCTTGAAAGGTGGGTTTCTCAATGTTTTTTTCTCTCCAAGCCTCCTCAGCCCTCAGAAGAGGAGATATTATGAACTGGTAGGATGCACCCTGGCAGAACATGAGCAGAACATCTCTTTGGAGGAAAGAAAGTGATTGTAAGAGACGAGCGCCACTCATTTTACCCTTTCTCTGCTATTGGAATTAGTAGCAAAGGGATAGCACTTTACCTGTATGTCAATGGCAGGATTGTCCAGGGTGATGTCTCTTTGCACTAGCACTTGAATCCCACCTGCCACATGACATAAGGCTGTTACTTGGATCATGTTATCTGTAGTTAAATGCTGTTGATATTCAGCATATGATATCTGAATGGGAAATTGTTTCTCTGTAATAAAAAAAAAAAAGAGAGAGAAGGATTGATAAACACTTTTATAAGTCAACAGATCTTTCATACCTTAATTAGTATTTTCCTTCTACGTTGTGTCTGTGACTAGGGAGGGCTTCAGTCATCACTGGCAAACTCGCTTGATGCAAACCTATTAGTTTGTCAGTGGCAGAGTGATTTCTTCTCTGTAATCTCTCCTCCATCCCTTACCATCATACTGCCTGGCTTTTGTGTCTCCCCAGGTAAGACAGATGGAGTTTAATGAATTGATCAGTGCTACCTCATTTGTTATAAGATATGCTCTGGTAGGACTCATCAGTCTTATTTACTTGTGGTGTACAACATGCAGGCTAAATGATGTGTTTGCATTCCTACTATCTTTCCTAGCCATATCTGCTCTTTATCATCATGTGTTTTTACAGTAGTTGCTATGCTATAATTCAAATTATAGGAATACGAGATTGGAAGGGATCTCCTCTGTCTCTGAATCAAGGTAATCCCACAATACAGTAGATGTCAGCTTCAGAAGAACTTTAGAGTATCTGTGCTACATGCAAACACTGAACCACAAAATACTTTTCAGCAGCATACAGCAGATGAAACACACACACAAAAAAAAAAAACCCCACACAAGTCACAAACGTTAGGTGCCACAAAAGACAGCAAGAAACCAAGAGTGTTGTGAAAGGCCTAGATTGCTCTAATAGCAAGGGATTTGTTAAGTATAAATCCTAGCAAATGGCACATGCTTCACTTGACAGAAGAGGATAAAAAAACTCTTCAAACAGTCTCTGCCATCAGACATGGTGAAAAACCTCTCTCCTGACCCTAAATTCAGCCACTGGTTTAACACAGTGTGTGTAAGCACAAGACACCACAAGGTACCCACGTAATTGTAATGCTATTAGCAACATCTGCATATAAGCTCTGTCTTCACTGAGAGTTCAGTTTCTAATGCTTTAGAAGAAGCTGATAGACCCCCAACTCCACAAGTCAAAATTACATATTAAGAGAAACATTATTTCTGCTTCTCAGTAGTAACTTGAGCCTAAGATTAATACAATATAGTATCAACAGAGAATCAATCATTTTTTTAGGTCTCCTTAGTTTTTGACACATCTATTGTCTCAAGCTCCTATCACTAACTTAATTTCATGCTTCCAAGAATGCTCCTATTTAGGCACAGAATTTCTCTTGTAAGGATATCAAACACCATCTGAAAAAAGTTGTAGGTCCCTTATTCCTCAGCTGTACTTGGATAATTTATTTTCTTACCCATTTTGGAGTTTCAGAGGATATTTCAGCTATTTCTATTCCTCATACTTTAATTCCATTCTAAGGTGCTAACGGATCAGGTTTCTCGTTTCTGCTGTTAGCGGTGTCCCATTATCTACCAGTTAGGGCCCTCGACCAGAAGACATTCAGTTGGAATTAATTTCTATACTTTTTATGTTTTCCTTATCTTTTCTTTGCAAGTTTTGTTAAATGAAACTTCATTATGTTTACTTGCCACCTTCTTTTCACTCCTAAAATACGCTTTCTAAAATGTGAATTTTGTGCATTTAAGCGCCCGAAATCTAAGTGCGGTGTATTTTGACCCCTTCAACCTCTTTTGCATAGAAATTTAAGACTGCAAATTTTTTTGTAGCTTTTTTCTCCCCAAGTTTACTACCTTCAGAGCTAATGCTCATTTACTGATAAAACAATCACACAATTCTAATTAAAAGCTATATGAAAAATTACCTTCCTGAGGATCCAGAGTGACAGATATGGAGTCTTTCCAGATCTCGTGAACAGGTCTCCTCGTGTATACAGTGCTCCAAGCCGTCATATTTACCTGAACAGTCTTAGCATCAGAAGTTAAGTTTGCAAGAACCAGAATTAGATTGAGATCTTTGCCAACTTCTAAAGGGCCAGCAACCTTGAACTTCCCTGAGATGTCAGGCTTTTGATCAATCTCCTTTGGTGTTGGTGCTGTGGGATCAAATTTATCCTCTAGTCCCAGCTTCTTACGGGCTTTCTTAAAAACATCTCTTTCTTTTGTAGAGCCTGTTAGTGAGAACCATGAAAGTCATCCCCACCAGTTAAAATGCATCTCTTTTTATGTGACTGTTAGAGACTGATCGGCAGAACATAGTGCCTGTGCTTACAGGGGAACAGAGCCTCTGTTTTCCACAGCCATGCATCATTTTCTGGATCTACAGTCAGTTTGTGTCACTGTTCCTGTTATAGCAATTCTTTGTAGCATCACATCTTCAGTCCAGAGTTTCTCACCCTTGCCATTCCTAACCCGGCTTACGGTCGTAACACTGATAAATGTAAATTCTTATTTGCTAATACAGAAAAGGCCCCTACTATAAGGTGAAATGTTGATGGCATTGGAAGCTAGCTATTTGGGTTCTACTTGATCATGCTTTTCACCCTTCTGGATGTATATTTCCGATAACAGTGTTCATTCTTTGCACTTGAAAATTCAGTTAATGATTACTGTATTTTTCTTCTTGTGCTATCAGCCCCAAAGATCTGACAAATTTACATGTGGTTAGACCCTTCTAAAATGTTACTTTTCTTGGGCTAGGTGGTGATTTAGCTTAGGTTTCTGTAATACACATTTAATTCTGCTGTCAAATAGCGGTGCTGTAGGCTAATTTTAACAAAGCAGAGACAGTGCACATTAGTGTAGACAAGCAGAACAGTAAATGTCTTACTCAAAGTAATTGCACTCGCCTTATTTAGATCCCACAAATCAGCTCCATATCAGAAATGGCAGGGTACGATTTTTTTAATCTTTCCCTTTCTCTTTCCCCTTTCTGTTAGAACTGAAGAAACTGAGTGTAAATTTTGCTCCCACCTTATATATATGCAGAATTGCCCACCAATAGACTCCTATCCTAAAGTTTCTATACATAGATGCTTCATTCTAAAACTTAACCAGAAAAAACAGAATTTTACTTTACCTTCTGCATATTTATAATCACTAGTGATGTCGACGCGGTCATCTCTACCAACTGCCTTTGTGCTGATGAATTGGCCAATTACTGTGGACTCAGAGAACATTAATATTTTCTTTCCACTTGTGGGATCATAATTCCAGTACATACAGTCTGCATTCACTTCTGCAAATACGAAGGGGCAGTCATAGTCCAGATCTACATCTCCTTCTTTGATGGCGTTCCGTGAGGCAGGACCACACTGATAAATCCCTATAGCATCAAGGAAAAATAATTTAGGACTAATCGACTGTTTCAAAGTAGGGAGGATACCTAGACAGATATTATTTATCAATGACACTTGAATTACAGAGCCCTGGTGTTCTACTCCAGCCCTTTCATCTATGCAGTGACTTGTACCAGGTTAGTCGTCAATGTATCCTGTATTTAGTCTGAAGGTACACCTGATTTATTTTATAATATCCTTTCATTTTCAATAGCTCAGGATACCTACATTGGAAATGTAGGACGAGTCTTTCTCAGCTAATCCTAAAAGCCTGGTTAGGTTCTTGGTATCCAACGAGGAGCTGAAGCTTCTCTAATGAAACAGAGAAAATATTCTCTTCTGCCACTCTACTTCTGGGCAAGGAAATAAATTACTTTGACATGGTTGAATTTCTTTTTCCCTCTGAAAGTGACTGATTTTATAATTTTTCAGCATTATTCCTGAAATGAAATCCGTGTACCTCCACTTTCCTCTTGGGGAGTTGCATCCAGAATTTGCCATCCACTGTATGAGGGGCCCAAGTCACTGCGAGAAAACCAGCTTTCATTCCAGACATGGAAATTCCTACATTCAAGAATGAACAAAGTAAGCTGTACATAGTACGTATTGGTTTTTTTTTTTTTTAATCAATGAAATCTTTGTCATCTTTGCAGTTTCTTCTCCATGGATTTCCTAGGGTCTTATCTGGCCCATGGCAGAGCACTGGGATACCTCAGTACTGCTGCAAAATTACTTTCATCTGCTTACTGCCCCAAGAAGGGCACATCCAGGATCTGCTGGGGCTCAGCATTGATCTGGCCATGGCTGTAAATATCCTTTCACTTGAGGGTTCTTCTAGTATGTAGCTAGAAGCTGATTTCTGGCTATTCTTTGCTATTGGTACTCGTAAAAGGGTGAATAGAGACGTCTTTCCTAAAATGTCATGTTCTGCAGCTCTATCATATGCATGTCTTTTCCACTGATACAAAGGCACACTCTCAAATTGAAGTTTGTCCTGCCCATTGCTTTCTTCACCTATTAACCTAGGGAGAAAACATAAGAATTGAACATTGCAGCATAAAATAATAAAACCTGCAGCATAAAATAATAAAACCTTTGTTGCTGTTAGAAACTATGAGGGGGGAAAAAAGAAAAGGAAAAAAACAAAACCAACACCAGCTTCTGGATGAAGCAGTCTTCCACAAGAAATAATCACGATAAGGGCCCTTTTTCCTCTAAATTCCTATTCACACCCATTAATAAATCATCTTAGTTAGAATTTAAAAATTTGATACATTTGTCAGGTTCTTATCCGAGACTGACCATGTCCACTGTGATCCTGCCTTGGTCAGACTGGAGCTGAAAAATTGCATTGTGTAACAGACTTGAATATTCAAGGCAGAAAGCACATTTGTAAAATTATACAAAAAGGTCTTCAGCCTTTTTTTTTTTTTTCCTTCCAGAAGCTCTGAACATGTAGTTCCTTTGTTTTTAGCTGTGTTCCTTACAGGACAATGCTGCAGTTAGACTTATCACTTATATTCAGGATGGCTCCAGAACAAGCAGAGGAGTAAACAAGGCAGAAAATGAGGGGCTGCATCTGTTCTTTGCTGAATGTAAACTTGTTTGAATTGCATTCGATGCTTAATCGTGGCATTAATTAAATTAAATTCACTGCAAATGATCCCACTGCAAGAAAAAAAGGGGACTCAGTTCTTTCAAACTTTTGCAGTTTAACATGAACTATTTTTGAAAGCTAGTTCCAAACTAAATCAAGTCCCCCTGTTTGATATTTCCAGTGTAGTATCACAAATTTTCAGTTGTCTGTGGCATCATAGCTGTAATTCTCCTGTCTTGGCCTCAATTTGCCTTTGTAACATGTCATAAGTCTCTGTTTAATTACAAAAGTGAAAATGCTGTTAAAACTCTGCTTTTAATAATATTACCTTTTTTTGATCCTGTATGTGTAGTTGTTTGGGGGACAATTTTTAACAAATTAACAGAGCATTTGTCATTGGAATTAGGTACTGTGTACCTGAAGCCCCTATTTCTCATTGATAGGTCTTACAATTAAATACCATAGAGCCTTACCAGACGCTGTCAGCTCCCCTGTTCAAATGATTTCCAGAAGCATCGTAAAACTCATCCACACGCAAGTTTCCATCTGCATCATGAGCAGAGCTGAAGTTTGTAATTGTTCGAGTGGGAATCCCCAGACATCTAAGCACTAATGAGTAAATACAAAACCATAGTTAAAAAAGAAGTTTTGCTAGATTATGAAGTTCCATATGACATACTAATGTCTTGAAAGACTCCCATGTAGACATTATTATTAGTGTTTCTTACACCAGAATCTGTGCAATGGCAGTATGTGTATTACATAAAACATACCTGTAGTTAACACTGCTGCAAATACCCAACACTGTCCATATCTAACAGACTTGAATCCTGATTTCTTCCAGTTTTGCAGGATTTCACCACTTCCAGTCCAGCTGCTTGGATTTTTCCCACCTTCATAATTTCCACTCCAGTTTCCCAGCAGCACCCCTTGGTCATCGTTGCTGTTGACCTGTAAAAATATTCACTAAAGTTGTGAAAAGATAAATTAAGAGTTTAAAACAGAAAAAGCAGTGTGTAGGTAGGAGGGGAGAAAAGCCTTAAATGATATTTTAGTGGACAAAAGCCACTGCTTCATGCCGTTGGCCTTCAGAAAGTCCTCTTTTTAGGGAAATGAAATATGTATCCCCTCAAATAATGAAGAGCATTTAACCACTGTCTCTCCTGCTCAAATACGGTAACACCAGGCGAGAAGACAAACACCAGTGTGTAGTGAACCTTCCTGTTATGAGGTAGCAACTTTGCCACTGCATGATTGAATGGCATCATCAATTTATGCAATGCAGTTCCCATAGCTTTCAGAGTGTGCCTGGCTGATGACACAGAGTGAACCCTCAGCCAATTTATAGACAATACTAAATTAGGGGAAGTGGCTGACAAAACAAATAGGGCTGAGCACTGAGCCAGAGTCACCCTGAGAATCTTGAGTACTGGGCTAACAGAAGCCTCATGAAGTCCATAAAGAAAAGGTGTACGTTTCTGAACTTGAGGCAGAATAACCATTCCATCGGTACAGGCTGGGAAGCAGATGGCTGAGTGGCAGCCCTGCTGAAAGGGGTCTGGAAGTTATGGCAACTGCCAGACTGAGTTTGAGTCAACAGTGCTCTCTTGTCATAAATAAGGAAAAGCACACACTGGGCTACGCTAGCACAAACATATCTGGAAGATCGAGAGACGTTATTATGCCCTTTAATTGGTGCTGGTGAGGTTTTGGCAGGAGTACTGTGCCAAAGTACTGAAGAGGGTCCAGAAGAGAGGACTGCCAAGACGGTCAGGGGCCTAGAGCACCTGATCTGCAAAGAGAAGTTGAGAGAGAGCTGGGCTGGGTCAGTGCGGCGAAGAAGTGGATAAGGAGAAATCTAGTAGCAGCTTACAACTCTCTGAAGGGGAGAGACAAAGCTGACAAAGCCAAACTTTTCTGAATACTGGCAGACTGCATGACAAGAGGCAACAGCAGAAGGTTGTAGCTTGTGAAAATTGTACTGGACGTAAGAGAAAAAATCCTCGCTACGAGAGTACCGCAGCGCTAGACAGGTCACCTAAAGAAGCTGTGAAACCTCCATCCTTGGACATTTTTCAAGATAGCCTAACAGATCCACAGCTGATCTGATCTAGTGCTACTGAAGGCTCACATGAAAGGGGAGGTTGGACTAAAGACCTCCAGAAACTGGTCCCTCTACATACCACCCCACGACTTACACTTTCAGTTTGACAAAGAAATACCACAGGTGAAATAAATCTAGCAGGCTCCAATCAGACAGCTACCCAGAGGTTTCTCTGGCCCACCTTTCTGGTGCACAAAAACAGTGATCTAAAAATTTCCTGAGAAGTATCTTCAAACTCATTCTAACTACTTAAAAAAAAAAAAAAACCAGGTAGTGGTTTGAATTTTTGAATAGCTTGCTTACCATTGCACTGAGAACACGGCCCACGTATTTGGGATCATTTCGGTGAGATACATCTGTGGCAGGATCCTGGCGGTAGTTTAAACTTCGATCCAGCATGGAAAGGCAAATATTGAGAATATCTCCTTGAAACTATGTTACAGAAATACGTTAGTGTATTGGGACCACAGATTGTTCTACCGTACTAAAAATGAAAATAAAAAGAGCCAAATAACTGGTTAACCTAAAAACATTAACCAGTTATTTGGTTCTTTTTATTTTGACTGAAATTAAAATCATTTCGATGAAATTCATATCACTGAATGGAGTGTTGTAGCTCACCCAGCCAGATAAAAAGATGACCTCAACAACTGTGAAGTTTAGAACTTGAAGAGCTTTCCAAAACTTGGAATCTGTGCAGTGAAGAAAGGGCCTGTGCTTCCCAGTGTTGCTACAGTACTTTACTACCTAGCAGACATGAAGATTTCTGCAGGCTGCATCTCTGAGTCCTAAGCCATATAACTGACTGGTCCTACAAATCCTCATGTTAATCAGTGTAACACGGCTTGACATGAGTTCTAATTTCAATACCAGACTACTGCTCTTCTGAGGTATGCAACTGTGACGAACTGGGAAAAGTGAACAAGCCTTTGTCACCCAGCTCATGTGAAAACAGGAGCACAAAACAACAAAGTTTCAGTCCTGCGTTTACCTGGCCAAAGTTCCATCCAAAGCTGTTGATGTGATGTTTATTGCCTGCAAAAATGATGCCAAACTCTTCTAGCACATATTCCTCACACTCAGCCTTGTTAGGCAAGAACACATCATCACCTGAAAAGCCAAAGCAGAGGTCTGTAACACCACATCTGCCAAAATACATGAAAACCTTATATGGGAACCTCCATAAGAATGTTTGCAGAGATCCACCCTTTGCTGTTCTCGTTGGTATAAACAGATGGTGAAACTTAGGTTTTCCTGTATTTAGAGAAAGGGGAATGTATTAGAGAGGAGAAAGAAGCGTGGACCTGTCTAATCTGGAAGAAGGTGACAGCCAGTAGATTTGTCTTTTTTCTTGGTTTCTCAGAGACTGAGCACACGCTTCTAAACTTGTGCAGAAGCAGGGAAGCTCTGGCAGAGGCAGAACTTAATCTGCATCTTTCAGGGTAAGAAGCTCTCTGATAAGTATGTGATAAAGAGCTGATTTTATGTACCAGAAGGTCCTAAGAAACTGTTAAGCCATTTCCTGTTCTCAGTGCTAGATTATGTGGTGAATGTTCAGCTCCTGGGCAAAAAAATGCATAGATCAAGTGGAGAAGCTGCAAATATTAATGAAGCAATGAGAGAGTTAGTTCTCTCAGGGGAAATCCAACACATTCATACCTGAAGACCAAGGGTTAAAGAGCAAAACAAAGGTGCCAAGGTTTGCCGGGGAGGAGCTGCCCATTGAAGTACTTTGCACATTCAGTTTGTAACGTCCTATGACTGCATTAGCTGGGCTGGAAATGGAGATGCTCACAGAGTTGGAAGTGGTGGACTGCAGAACTGCACTCCAGTTCTCCTTGCTCACTGTGCTGGAGATACCGAATGTGGCCTGGGTCTTAGCTTGCTTTGAAGGTTTTGGACCTTTTAAAGAAAAAACACAACCCTAGTTTTTTTGGTTTTGTTTTCCGGATGTCTGAAATACAGAAGTAATCGTCTCTCAACCCAAAAGAGGTGTAACTGCCCCCCTGCCCCCCGGTAAATTCATGCCATTTGTTTGAAACTGAAGAAAGCTATCATTACTAGTTGAGGTGGGAGTAATGCAAGAAACACCTCAATCAGTCCCATGGCTACATAAACCAGCAGGTTGGCTGTCAGGTACTCTTTTTCCCATGTAATGAATATCAGACTAAAAGAATGTCACCGGGTGGCATTACTAATTTTAAGAAAGAAGAACTTGGGAGCTATACCTGTTTCTGCAATGAATGTTAAGTTTTGCTCAAGATGTCCCGTTCCATTGAAGGTGATGATGAAGGCCTGACCTCTCCTCACAATCAACTCTTTGCTAGAAAATTTACTTGTACGATGGTCTCTTGCATTTTCTTTCAGATGCCAGTTGATACTTGACTGCGTCATAGCTGTGAAAAAAAACAAGAAGAGCAAGAAAACTTGAGGGTACATCCAAGGCTTTAAGGGCAGGAAGAAGCATAGGCTCACTCTCGAGAGCTGCATATTGTTCGCTACAGGTAACTCATAGCCGTGTGAGATTTCTACCACAAATAGAAATCAGTTATTTGCAAGTATTTTATCTTTTTGGAGAGACTCCCCCTTGTGTAGACTGCTAGGGTCTATCTGCATAATTAAATATAAAAGGTCTAGTATATGCTATACCAAAGAAGAATCAGGAAGAAATCTAAGAGGAGAGAACCATGAGATAATCAAATATGTGCGAGTTACTCGAATAAAGAATACCGCTGAACTCAGCTAAGTCTTTCAAGGTGTCATCCAGTCTGTGACATGGTGTTGTACTAACAGAGGCACAGCTTCACGATCTCTGAATAAGTAAAGAAGAAATCTGATTGAGCTGAGAAACATTTCTGTATTTAAAATGGTGACCTGTGACCTCTGGCTCCCTTTACCTTTTATGTACCTCTGATATAACTGATAGCTGTTACCGTTTGGAAGCAGCTATCAAGACTATGCTAATTGGGCTGTCATTTGACAATGGGAGAGTTGGTAGAATTGGAGAGATAACACTACTAAAAATCATGTTTATGAAATAATCTGTTGCAGAGAGCCGTTGTGTGTGAACTGTGGCTTCTGTGGAGGTCAAAGAGTAAGCATCTCAGATCTTCTCAGATGGAGGGTTATCTAGCAGAAGGTAGCAGGATGGTTTAAGTGAGGTGTTGGAAAAGCAACAAGTACAGAAGAAAAAGAAC